CCTGTAACTGAGTAAGAGGAACAAGAAATATATCATGGAAAGCTGAAATCAGCAAGTTACTATAAAAATGGAAGGTCATTAAGGTCCTAGTCATAATTTTATTTTTATATGTTTTGGGTATATAGTACATACTTAAATACTTAATAAATTGAATTGAACTAACCTTGTTAAATCATATCATTACTAGATATCCAGGTGTTCAACCACCATTTTCACAGTGTTTAGATGATCATTTCTCATATCTCCTAAAGCATCAAAGACAGTGCAATCCTATCTGTATTTCCAGTAATAATATCTATAATTAATTTCAGTTCATCACTGGTGAAAGCTTTAAGTTATACTCTCCAGCATGTCAGGAGCCATCCATATCCATATTTTACTACTACTAGCAATGAAGTTTATATTCCAGCAAGGAGGGAGTAATCCATTTCCAAAATTCCATTTTAGAGTCTGTTTTCTTAAAACATCCCTGGTACAAACTGTCTTAGATTGAGTTCCTTAGAAACAGCCTCTAAGATGGGAAACTGCATGCAAGTTTATTAGGGAGTCCTCTTGAGGGATACACATGAGAGGGTGACAAAGATAGGACTGGGTGGAGAGACAGGTAGACCAATGATGCAGTTGCAGTTGAGCACTCAGTCTATTTTATGGGGAGCTCTGGAGATGGGATAGCCCTTTAGAATTGCAAGGAGGCCAGGATTTTGTATCCCCACATTAGCCAGTCAGTGGCTGCACAGCAGGCCACCCCTTGCAGGGGATGGGAGGATATCTTTACTGTGAGGTAGTTTCCAAGAGTAAGTTCCAATGAGAGATGAGTTCCAATGAGATAAGCCATCAGCATTTGATAGTTCCTTCCAGCAGTTGGGGGATGATTGTGTTGACCCTGAAGAGGAGAACTGGTTGAAGAACCTCAGTATTTATTAGTGTTCAAAATGACCTATCTTTGGCCAATGGGAGCTCTTCATGTAGGTTTTTATGTCTTTTGACATGACCCACTGGTTTTGTATAGCTTTCTTGCTTTCTGATAAAATATATTTCAGGCTCATGTAATATATGACCTGAACTAGAACTGAAATCAGCCATTTCTCCAAGGATTTTTTTAAGTAAGAAATTGTATTTAGAGACCACAAAATGAGTATAAGGATTGCTCATTGATTCTAGGCCTTTCAGTGGACAGAACCAAAATATAAATTTTTGGAAAAAAAACCTCAGGTTCATATTAATACTACCATTTCAAATTTAACATGATAGAATTTTTACTTAATTTCCTTGATTTTTACACTTTTACCCTTTTCCTTACATTGAAAATCTTAGTTCATAGCAACACTAAAGTAAATATTTGTATTTCTCTATTCTAGTCTATTCTCTCTCTCTATATATATATAATTTCAAAAGAGTAATACTAATATTATGGTAAACTGGCTACAGAATGACATTTAAATATATACATCTTTCCATTTGGATTTTGTCAAAGTACTTTGTTTGATCTTTATTATTTTTTTAAAAAGATTTTTGTTTATTTCAGAGAGAGAGAGAGAGAGAGAGAGAGAGCATGAGCAGGGAGAGGGGCAGAGGGAGAAAGAGAAGCAGACTCCTCATTGAGCAGGGAGCCAGACTTGATCCTGACCTGAGCCAAAGGCAAACACTTAATTGACTGAGCCACCCAGGGGCCCCTGCTTGATCTTTATTGTACTCATTTGTTTTCACTTGTAACAGGATACATTCTTGGCATTTACAGATAACAGACAAAACGATAAGAGAATTTATTGAATGACAAAATTGGATGAGAATCCTGTTTCCTTATAGTGATGATCTAAATTTAACACAATGAAATATGATAGGTATAACTGCAAAATGCAGTTGTTCTATACCCCCTTTAATTAATTAATTAATTAATTTTAAAAGTTATTGTTTAATTAATTTATTAAATTTTTTTTTTACTGGAGTTCAATTTGCCAACATATAGCATAACACCCAGTGCTCATCCCACCAAGTACCCCCCTCAGTGCCCATCACCCAGTCACCCCGACCCCCCGCCTACATCCCCTTCCACTACCCCTTGTTCATTTCCCAGAGTTAGGTGTCTCTCATGTTTTGTCACCCTCACTGATATTTTCACTCATTTTCTCTCCTTTCCCTTTATTTCCTTTCACTAATTTTTATATTCCCCAAGTGAATGAGATCATATAATGTTTGTCCTTTTCTGATTGACTTATTTCATTCAGCATAATACCCTCCAGGTCTATCCACGTCGAAGCAAATGGTGGGTATTTGTCATTTCTAATCGCTGAGTAATATTCCATTGTTTATACCTCCCTTTAATCCATAAAGCATTAGTAAAGACTGACAATAAAATGATAAAGAAACTTACTATTTATCAATAAGAAAGGCTACCACTTTTTGAGCACTTATTATATGCTAGGCACTCTGCTAAATACTTCATATAATTTTATAATTTAATCTGGATAAGAGCCTTATGATAGTAGTAGTAGTAGTAGTAATCTATCATTTACAGAGCATTTATTGAGTACTTGGTGCTCTAGGCATTTTATACTTAATTCTCATAACAACCCTACAAAGTGTTCCAGATCTAGGAGTCTGGTTCCAAGGATATAGGTACTACACTTTACCCCCTTTTTAAAGATGAGATTTTGAAGATGAGAGAGACTGAGAAACTTCTCTAAATTTCTGGCAAATGAAGGACTGGGATTCAATCCATAATGCTTAATTTCATAGCTGGTTTCTTTTTTTTCTTTTTTAATGATTTCATTTATTTATTCATGAGAGCTGGTTTCCTAACTGCTCTGCAATACTGCCCTCCTGTAACAATTGCTAGGCAGGCTTTGGACTGAGTGCATTAATATGTCATTCATTGTAATCTTGTTAACAATCTGGGTGGGAGGCATCACTCTTGTCCCTCCCATTTCACAGATCAGAAACTGAAAGTTCAGGAGATAAGGAAGTTGCTCCAGATTACACGGTGAGATGTAAAGTTGCAACTCACATCCAGGTCTAACTCCAAAGCCCATATTCTTAAACATTATGCTGTACAGGAAGGGAAAGATGTAAAAAACCAATAGCATTAGTGAAAAAGACTAGCAAGTTCATTGTGAGGCAGTGGTGGGATGCTACTGCCAACAAAACGAATGGCACCTGAGGCTGCATTCTAGAAATACAGTATTTGCAGCAAAGGAGGAGACAGTCCCACTCTAATCTGTAATGGTAGAGCATACCTGGAGCATTTAGTGTCTTTCTGGGCTCTGCAATTTAAACAAGCATGATCAACATAGCTGAAACTCCTCCACAGGTGAGCCCCGAGCCTGGTGAAGTGTCTGAGTAATGTGTCTATAGGAAGAACTGTTAAAAAGTTGAGGTTAGCCTTCTGAAAGAGAAGACCCAGGAGAGGCTGGTATTTGAAGTGTCTTCTTGTGGTGGAGTGTTAGATAGTCTATGGTTCCAGAGGGAAGAACCAAGGCTTCTGTTAGGAGGAAATAGCGCCTCCAATAGCACTGCTTGGTATTTGGAGCTTTTTGAAATGAAATGGGCTTTCTTTAAAGGGAATGAATTCTTTTTCACTGATGAAGAACCTGAATGACCACTTACTGTGGGATTAAAGATTATATGTCAGGTGTGGTTGGTTCTTACATTTGAGTGAAAGAATCATCTGGAAGAACTTGTGAACTACTGGTTCTCAGGCTTCACCTTTTGAAGTATTGATTCAACAGATCTGGGATAAGGTCCACGAATCCACATTTTTAATAAGCGGCCGGGTGGGTCCAAACGGGGTGGTCAGTGACCCACACTTTGAGAACCAGTGAGACTAGATAAACTCCAAGATCTCTTCTACTTGTTTTACAAATAAACATCTTAGCAAAAGACGTGTGTAGTCAACATAACGATTGTTCAAAGAAAGTTGTCTTAAATTTTATATGAGATCTAAGACAAAATATTTTAATATGTTGACATTACAATTAGAGACAAAATGGAATGTAGGATGTTAGATATGGAAGGTGAAGGCTTGATTCTCAATCTAAGTCATAAGAGATAAGACTTTAATCTTATAATCAGCAAAATAGAAGAGACAAATCCAAATGGAAGATCTTTGACCATTTTAAAGAATTTACTCTACCTATAGCAATCTGATGGGGACCTGGAAGGAGCTATCTAATTACCCTAATGGACAGCACCTGTGTAAGGTTAAACACACCTGTCCTGCCCTGGGACCCAGGATTATATAAACTTCAGCCTAAAACCAACAGAACAGGTGTGGGGGAGGGTGTCTTCTAACTGGCCCACTTTCTGTTGGGGCCAAAGCACTTTTTCTGGCAAGTATCATGTATGTTTGATTAACCTTAACTTTCACTTGATGCATGCAACCTGAGAGCCACATTTTAGTACTACTATATCCTGAAATGTTTTGCTCTCTGTAAATGTTTTTTAAAAGCAGTGCTTGGGTATAATTTACTGTCCCATATCAGGGATTTTTTTTTTTATTTTATTTATTTATATTCATGAGAGACGCACACACACACAGAGAGAGAGAGGCAGAGAGAGAAGCAGGCTCCAAGCAGGAAGCCTGATGCAGGACTCAATCCCAGGACTCCAGGACCATGCCCTGGGTGGAAGGCAGACACTAACCTGGTGAGCCATCCAGGGATCCTGACTTTTTTTAAAAACTTAAGTTGCATAATTGTGTTTCATTTGTTTCTTAGGTGTATTAAAGTTTTATTTATTTTTTTTTGTATTAAAGTTTTAAAAAGAGTCTTTTTTCTTTGAAAATACTGAAAACTGGTTGAGGAATTAGTATTCATTGGTGTTTTGTTAATTGATAGTTATCAATGTGCTTCTTTAGTTCATAAAGGATAAACAAGTGATTTCTGTTTTAAATTTAAGGTCCCTAAAACTTCCCAATGGCAAATACACGTTGATAATCAGTGTGACCTGTTTCTATTTTATTCTCACTTCCTTTTAATGATTACAGACCTCCTTTCCCTTGAATCATGAGGGATGAAATTGCAACTGCAGTTTTCTTTGTCACAAGATTGGTGAAAAAACATGATAAATTGAGTAAACAGCAAATAGAAGACTTTTCGGAAAAGCTGATGACGATCTTGTTTGAAACCTACAGAAGTCATTGGCACTCTGACTGCCCTTCCAAAGGGCAAGCCTTCAGGTGAGAGCTGGTGTATATGATGGCAAAGGGAAGGAAGTAGCAAGTGATAACCGTTGGCAATGATTCTTTTGCCAGTGTCTGAGGAACAAAAGTTTTATGGTCTTAAATTGATTGGAACGTGGGCTTGAGAGCAAGACATGGAGCAGGTGGCAGTGCATAGTTGAAAACTATATAGTTTAAATATAGTTGAAGACTATAGGGCAAACCCCTTATGTAAGGTGGATTAAGCTGTCTCTATCTTGTGCTTATCACAAAAGATATGCAGAGAACATTCATCACACTAATTGTGTGACTTAGTGATGCAACTCACATTATGAGTAGCTGTTGTTACAAGTTGATGGTTCTATTCCTAAAACTGTGGAGGGTGGGGACTGGGTAGGGTTGCGGGTGAGGGTGGAGCTGTTTGTTCATCACATGATTCTTCTACGAAGGTGCCTGTCACCATGTCTTTGTTTCCCTTTCCTTGCTTTTTAAAGGTGTATCAGGATAAATAATAATCAGAATAAAGATCCCATTCTAGAAAGGGCTTGTGCTGAAAGTAATGTGGATTTTTCTCACCTGGGACTTCCAAAGGAGATGACCCTGTGGGTAGATCCCTTTGAAGTGTGCTGTAGGTGAGTAATCTCATGGGAGGTGGTGTGACCCCCTGAAACCGTGTGTTGCATAGTTCTGTACACCTAGGTTAGTGGCAAGGAGGGCACTGGCTGGTTAAGGTTTCAGATGCAAACTTTATTTGCACAAACTTCCGGTAGGAGTGGATGGCCTAGAAGCACAAAGGCTTCACGTAGTATTTCAAATTTGCCTTTGATCACTACACGTTATTGCCCATTGTAGATTATAATGCCTAAGTATTATAAGCAGTATCTAGGCGGCAGAGAAGTTGCAATGCAATCCATTAGTTGAATTGAAAGAAACTAGTTTTTGTCTTTTTCTGAAAAATTCACTGCGAGCCCTTACAAAGACCGCCGTTAATTACAACCCTGTGCTAACTGAAGGTCACAATGTCTCTTAATTTGCTTAACTGTCAAACCATTTCAATATGTTTTTAAAAATATGAGTAAAGGGCAGCCCTGGTGGCTCAGCGGTTTAGCGCCGCCTTCTGCTCAGGGCCTGGTCCTGGAGACCAGGGATCGAGTCCCACGTCAGGCTCCCTGCATGGAGCCTGCTTCTCCCTCTGCCTGTGTCTCTGCCTCTCTTTCCTCTCTGTGTATTCTCATGAATAACTAAATAAAATCTTAAAAAAAATGAGTAAAATAACTTTTTGCAAATGAGTAAAGTGGTCTGTAGAAAAAAAATTAGAGATAAAAAAAATCTTGTGAAATTTTGGATCCCTGATGAATACTTTATTTTCTTCTCCTACTTAGGTATGGTGAGAAAAATCATCCATTTACAATTGCTTCTTTTAAAGGCAGGTGGGAGGAATGGGAGCTTACCCAGCAGATCAGCTTTGCTGTTAATAGAGCCACTTTAGACTCCACCTCAGGCATTTCCTCTGATGAAGAAAGTTGTAACAAAGAACCTCAGATCATTCCTAAAGTCAGTAATCCGAAGAGTATATATCAGGTAATGTGTGTTCCAGTTCTTCTATATGCTTTTTTTTCCCATTCTAATTCTAAAAAAAAAAAAAATTTGTTCACTGTCAAAGTGGAAAATGGAAAAAATATAAACATTTAAATCACAATATTAATATTATGGAAACATTTTTTCTTCTATATGCAGTTTCTCTACTTGGCTGAGTGCTCAGGAGCTGCATAGTCTTCTATAGTCCTGTTTCTCCATGTAGTATTTTTTTTAAGAGTTTATTTATTCATGAGAGAGGCAGAAACATAGGCAGAGGGAGAAGCAGGCTCCCTGTGGGAAGCCTGATGCAGGATTCGATCCCACAACCCCAGGATCATGACCTGAGCCAAAGGCAGATGCTCAACCACTGAGCTCCCCTCTCTCTGTAGTATTTGAACACAAGTCTCCTTTAATCCAAATTCCTTCATGATTAAACATTAAAATTAGTGGGCTTTTTGCCAGTAGAAAATAACATACCATTTATAGAAAATTTGGAATATTAAGAAATGGTTAAAGGTCTATAATCCCACCACAAGAAAAGTTTTCTAAAAAAAAAATGATAAAGCAAAATATATTTTAACCACAACTCTTAGAAAGACAGGTATATTTGTATGTTGGAAGTAGGTTTCATTAAACAACACTCATCCTTATTTTACATTGTGCTCCCCATATTTTCTATTAAAGTGATTTCAATCACCTAAATTGATTTCATGACTCAAATAGTGGCAACCCTCAATTTGAAAAACATGGATCTAGAGAAACTGTTGACATTGTATGTATATACTGGTTTGTATGTTTTCTGAAATTAATCCCTTATGTTAAAATAATTTAAATACTTAACATTTTAATATTTATTTTTTTCCCTTGTAATTTACTTAACTAATCTATTACTGGCAGTCATCTAGATTATTTCCACATTGTTGTGATATAAAAGCCGATAATTTGTAAAGATTACTGAATTTTAAGTTATTTCTGGATATTTGATTCCATGTCTATGGAATTACTGGGTGATAGGATAGGGACATTTTACTGTTCTGAATGTATGGCCAAAGTACCATGTAGGAGGTTTTGTCTATTTGTAGTCTAACCAGATCTAGGTGAAAGTTTGTATTTTATCATTTTTCCTAAAATTGGTTATTCTCATTTAAAAATACATTGCTGAAGATGTTGTTATAGACTACTTAATTTAAGTAAACATTAAAAACAAATCTCCAGGTGCCCAAATGTTTTGGGTACTTGTTTTATGAATTTTTTCTTCACCAATTTAGCACTTGAGGTCTTAATATATTATTATTACATTCTCTTCAAAGGTTAGAAATATTTTTTTAATAAATTAATTTTTATTGGTGTTCAATTTACCAACATACAGAATAACACCCAGTGCTCATCCCGTCAAGTGTCCCCCACAGTGCCCGTCACCCATTCACCCCCACCCCCTGCCCTCCTCCCCTTCCACCACCCCTAGTTCGTTTCCCAGAGTTAGGAGTCTTTATGTTCTGTCTCCCTTTCTGATATTTCCCACACATTTCTTCTCCCTGGTTAGAAATATTTTAATCCCTTTTCATATTACTGGCAAATATTTTTTCTGTAGTTTCTAAACTCTACAGTTTATTATATAATTCTGCATGTATAAATGTTTAAAATCATGTAATGACATATATGCCCTTAATTCTTCTTTCTTATTTTTTAATTTTTTACATATATGTATTTTTTAATTGGAGTTCAATTTGCCAACATATAGCATAACACCCAGTGCTCATCTCATCAAGTGCCCCCCCTCAGTGCCCATCACCCAGTCACCCCACCCCCTGCCCACCTCCCCTTCCACCACCCCTTGTTCGTTTCCCAGAGTTAGGCGTCTCTCATGTTCTGTCTCCCTCTCTGAGATTTCCCACTCATTTTTTCTCCTTTCCCCTTTATTCCCTTTCACTATTTTTTATATTCACCAAACGAATTAGACCATATAATGTTTGTCCTTCTCCGATTGACTTATTTCACTTAGCATAATACCCCCAGTTCCATCCACATCGAAGCAATGGCAGGTATTTGTCGTTTCTAATGGCTGAGTAATATTCCATTGTATACATAGACCACGTCTTCTTTATCCATTCATCTTTCGATGGATAACTCTATTCTTATGCGTAGAAAGGTTTCCTTCCATCTGGGGATCAGATCTATGGTCAGCTATATCCTCATGAAACAATTTCTTTTCAGTGTGCTCTGCAAAACATCATCTGTATTGGTCATTTGGGATGTTGAAAATGGATATTTCGAGACCTCAGCCCTAGAGGTCATGATTAGACAGCTTTGGGTTAAGCCAATGAGGGGAATGGTGGGGTAGAAGAGAACCCAAGAATATACATAAATTTGAAGACGTGTTTTCAAGTATTTTAGTTGGACTAAAGATTTAATTTTGTTAAAAGGTATGACATGACTTTATTACCTTCCTGCCCCCTATGCAAGCCAATTTTCCAAGGAGCATTATCTGCTTTGATTTTTATTCATTTGTACTCTCTATGCTTTCTGAAGGCTTAGCGTCTGAGTTATGGGTTTGTTTAGTACTTAGGTCTAGCTTATTACTTTACAGATGACCTTCATATTTTCTTTTTCACTTTTCCCCCCCAGGTTGAAAACTTAAAACCGCCCTTTCAATCTTGGTTCCATGTCTCCCGCAAAAAGAATATGGCAGATGGCCGTATGGGCCTCCTAGGGAACACTTCTCATGCATCGCATAAACATCCTAAAGGTCAGAGGTCTGCTGCTAACCACCGGGTGGACAGGTACCACTGGGTGAACACAAACCGATAATGCAGTGGCTGGGCACCTCGTGGCATAGAGCTCAGAGGAGCTGCTTTATTTTCTCTAAAACAGAAGAGAGTCTAAGGTTGTGAAGCCCACAAAACAGAAAAAGTACTCCCATCAGGGACTAGGGTGCCATAACGGTGAATCCTTTCACACAGATCATGACTATGTTCTTAACTGTACTTTTAATTTGTATGTAATTTTGTATGAAGTTTTATATAACACTAATGAATGTATTCAGTAAGGTAATAGAATGAAGATATTGACCTGGGATAAGATTCAATGAATTATGAAAAGCAACAGTTTAAATAAACGCACTATGTTTTTAATACTTTTCTAGTTCAGTTTTTTGCAAGAAAAAAGTTTGTGTTTCTTCATTAGCCCCATTTAAAATAGGTATCCTGTTATCTCCTTTGTTACCTATCATCACTACTTAATTTCACAAGACCACTGGGAGCTTGTTTTAAAATTACTCTTTAAGATACAAAATTCCCTTGTTTGTGTCTTCTAAATATTTTGATCTATTTCTATTTGTAAACCTCTTATGACTTATAACAGTGACAACTGCTCATTATAAGATTGAAGCTAATGGAATTAAAATTAAAAATTTGATTTAAAAAAATTTCAGCTAAGCAGAAAAAAAAGCACCAAGAAAAAAAAAATCCCTCCTGCCATCCAGCCAGAAACCACCATTATTAACATTAAATAGTGATTGTCTTTCCAGTCATCCTATACATGTATATAGATGTAAGAAGTGATATACAATTCAATAAGAAAAACCATACTATAGGAGCTACTTAACAAGTAACTAAAATTAAAAATTGAATTCAAGTATCTTAGCAAAACAAAGATACCTAAAGTGAAATATTCCTCAACTTTTCTGCCACAGAATATTTTATTCGCTGAAAGATTTCTCTGGAGTTCAACACCAGGAAGCTGAAAACTTTTTATCTTTAAAACTTCGTTTTTTTTTTTTTTTTCAACTTTATACGGTAGTATTTGTTGCTATGTAGGCTGTAGAAATAAGCACTCTTAATCTTTTTTTTCCCCCCTGAGGACAGGTTGAATGAGTCCTTAAAGTCTTAGGTCACACTTTCTTTCTCTTACAATTTCACAGAACTCACACGAAATCGATGTTTTTGGCATGATACTGTGGAGAAATCGGAAACTAGTTTGATTTCCCGCCCTGCAAAACCCCTTCATTCACACAAACACACACTTTTACTTTCTTGGGTGACTTCCTTTGCCAGCCAGACTGAAAACCTTTCCCTCTGTCCTGGAAGTCTATAGCCCTGTGTTGGTCATTCCACATCAGTTTTCCCCAAAATACTGTGTTCCTTTCTGATCTGCAGATTTAATTTTTCTAAAGCAATCGTTTACAATATTCTAATACTTTCATCCACCCATTTTTAGGGATACCAACTCTCTCGATGTGGGATCATTTTTTTCTGTCATAATGATTTATCTGATTGCTTTATCTTTATTTCATTTTTTTAAAACCACGGTGATCTTAAGTCTTCCTTCTGCCAGTTTGATTCTTAGTCCTGTCTAGTCTTTGTTTCTTGCCCATTTCTTAGTTCCATAATGATATTTTGGATTTCAATTAGCTATTTTCTGTAGGAATTATTCCCATATGCAGTTTGACTAAAAAATGAAAGGACTGTATAAAATAGTTACTATATGTACTACAACATAATACTTGTGACAGAAGAATGGGTTTCTAAGAACTCTTGCCCAGAGGATTTTCTTAATTGTCTCTTGAAGTATGTGAGGCTGTTTTGTTTTTGTTTTTGTTTTTTGTTTTTAAACTTCTTCCAGCCAATGGAGATGATAAATCTGTGGCATGTATATTACCACTCCTGCAACCCATGCCATGATGGACATCGCTAATGAATCACAATATTCTTATTTGGATTTGCAGATGACCTCAAAGTTCTGTGTACACAGTACCAGAGATAGCCATTAGAATTGTTCCAAGTTGGTACTCAAAAATAAATCAATTCCACCACGATTGAGGATTGGCCCAGAGGGAGCCATCCATGAGCTTTAGAGCCCTTGTAATTCTTTAAAGCTTCCCATGTGGCCTTGAAAAGGAGGGGGGGGGGAGTTTAATGAGCTATATATTTTTTGCTGTGATTAAAAGTGATCAATACAATTAAAAAGCCTCCAAATATATTAGTACTGTGTCTATTAGTGTATAATAACCAAATTAGATCTTCCTAATCTGCATTTTGAAATTTTCTAGGAGTATGTACTATTTTTGTTTAAAATTAACCTTCTTGAGAGAGCTATAGATTCACATGCTATTAAGTGGAGAGACTCTGTGTACCCTTTACCTAGTTTTCACCAATGGTAACCGTTTGCAAGATGATACTATAATATTTACAAGCGGATATTGACATGATGCAGTTGGGATACAGAACATTTCCATGTTCCCTTCTATGGCCACACCCTTCCCCCTCTCACCCCCAAACCCTTCCTCAACCCCCTGGCAACCACTAAACTGTTGTTCCCCACTTCTGTAATTTTGCCATCTCAAGAATGTTGTAAATGGAATCCTGTAGGCCACCTTTTGGGATTGGCTTTTTTTCACTAAGCGTAGTTCTCTGGAGATTCATCTAGATTTTTACATGAAGCAGTACTTTGTTCCTTATTACCATTAAGTAGTATTCCATGGTACGGATATGTCACAATTCATTTAACCACTTATGTATTGAAGAAAGACAACTGGGTTGTTTCTAGTTTTAAGGATTATAAATAAAACTGCTATAAACATGCATATACATAATGTGTGAGTATAAAGTTTTATTTCTCTAGGATAAATGCCTAAGAGAGTAATTGCTAGGTTGTATGGTAGATTCATGTTTAGGTTTTTATGAAACTGCCAAACGGTTTTATGGAGTGGCTGTACCATTTTATATTGCCACAAGCAATGCATGAATGATCTCCTTTCTCCATGTGTGTGCCAGACTTTCAGGTTCTGGAGTCCTAGTTTTTTGTTTGTTTGTTTTGTTTTTCTTTCAGCACTAGAAAAATGTTGTGCTTCTTCCTGGCTTTTGTGGCTTCTAATGAGAAATCTGCTGTGATTCACATTTTTAACTCTATATCTAAGTTGTCATTTTTTTTTTTTCTGGCTGCTTTCAAGATTTTTTTCTTTGCTTTTAGTTTTTGGAAGCTTAATTATATGTTTTGGTGTGGATTTTTAAAAAATTTATTTATCCTGTTTGGGACTCATTTAGTTCCTTGAATCTGTAGGTTTACTTCTTTCCAAATGTGGGGAGTTTTCAGCCATTGTTTCTTTGACTACTTTTACAGCATGCCCCTTTTTGTCTTCTCCTTCTGAGAGTGAAGACTTAAATGCTAGGTCATTTGCTATAGTATCATAGGTGCCTATGGCTCTATACATCCATTTGTCCTGTCTTTTTATACTCTGCTATTCAGATGTGGTAATTTCTATCATTCTGTCTAAAAATCCAGTGACTTTCCCCATCTCTGTCCCTTCCATTTTTCTATTGAGCCTATCTAGTGAGCTTTTTATTTTACTTTTGTATTTTTTCAGTTCTAAAATCTTTATTTGATCCTTTGTCTTCTTTCTTCTGTGACTTTATAGTTTTGTTTTTTGCTGAGATTTTCCATTTTCAAAATTTGTTTCAAACATGTTCATAATTGTTTGTTAAAGCATTTTTGTGATGGCTTCTTTAAATATTTTTCCCTGTAATTCTAACATCTTTGTCATATTGGTGTGTTGGGATCTGTTTATTGTCTTTTTTCACTGTTTTTAAAAGATCTTTCTGGTTCTTATTATGATAAATGATTTTTTGCCTGAAACCTGTACATTTTGTGACATTAGAAGACTTGGGATCTTATTTAAACTTTGTTCTAGCTGATTTACTTTGAACCAACATTACAGTGGTGAGGGTGGTGGGGAGTACAGGTGCTGCTTTGTTTCTGCCAGGCTCCCTGCTACCTAAAGAAGGGGTTCCTCACACCTGCTGGGCAGGTAGGGGAGTTCAAGCTCCTCATGTGGCTTACAGGAACACTTTACTTAGGGTGGCCTTATTACTGAAAGGCTGTAGTAAAAGTCCTGACTCTGCCCTGAGCCTTTGCTGATACCACTGGAGCGGGGAGGTGGTGGTGAGGGAACTCAGTACTATGCTATGTTGATAATGTCCAGATTCCCCATGGGGTCTTCCCTGACACTGTGGAGAGGAGTGGGGTTTGTTACTGCCCTGTGGGGATGAAAAGATGAAGATTCCCAGCTCTGTGCATGGTCTTCTCTCATAACATCCCAGGAGGAGGTTGGGGTGCCTGGCAAGGTGGAAGTTTAGACTTCTCACTCAACTTTTGCTGATGTGGATAGGGCCATTTTGTTGTTGTTGTTGTTGTTTTTGTTTTTCCTGTGATGTTTGGCTATAGTAAAGCAGTTGATGTCTAAATGTGTTTTGTCTTGCTGGGCTGCCTTTTTTTTTTTTTTTTAAGACTTATTGATTTGAGAGATGGAAAGGGGAAGGGCAGAGGGAAAGAATCTGAAGCAGATTTCCTGCTGGGCATGGAGCCCTATGCGGGGCTCAATCTCACAACCCTGAGATCATGATCTGAGCCAAAATCAAAAGTTGGTTGCTTAACTGACCGAACCACCCAGCTCCCCCTATGCTGTTCCTTTTTCTTAGTCCTTTGGCTAGAGAGATCATTCTTTGGGGGAGCTTTTTGGTTCTGTGCCCATCGGTTTTTATGGATTGCTGGTTTTTTCGTTCCCACGTCAGGAATACGTGAGGGAATAAGAGAATCTGTGGAGTTTATCATCACTTCCTGCCTCAGGTTTTGAGGTTCTTGGCTGGTGTATTTTCTTAGTTATACCTTTCAGAGTCTTCTTATTTTTACACATAATGTCCAAGAATTTTATTTCTACTTGGTGGAAGGAGTAGGGAAAGGTATGTCTACTCCATTTGCCTGGAAGAAAAAACTGTGTACCACTTTTGAAATAAAAAAAAAATTCTTAAAACACTTAAGTATTATGTTTTTTTGGAAAGGGCTCTTTTTGTGAATAGTTGGTAAAATATGGCTTCTATATCTACTGAAGTTTCCTTATCCTTTTTCTGACAAGTGGGCTGTGTATGTG